AAAAAAAAAAAAAAAGGTCTTCACTTTTTTCGTGAAAAACCCTAGCAAATTCGAATAATTTTCGCAAAAAAAAATTTCTCATCCAAATCACAGGGGGGGGTAAACCCCCCCCCCCTTCGCACATTACTGCTATACATATAGTATTTCAAGGAAAATTACATTGATAATGTATTCCTTATCGTAACGGGATGCAATAGAATCCAATGTTCTTACTGAACACAAATATTTTATTTACAAAAATGAATAATTTTACTTGCATCTATGAAAAAAGTTAACTTCAAAGACAGCATCAAATTTCTTATGAGTATTGATTATTATGTTTTTTACACCTTAGTGTACTGGAATCCCAGGATCACTACTTCTAATTAAAGAAGACGCCCTGGGTATATGTTTTTTACTCATCATGGTATGAAAAATATAATTTATATATAGTAAGTAAATTGCCAAGAAAAATTGGTAAGATTTGATCAGATACAAATTCTAGATAGAATAATAACATAATTGCCCAATAAATAACCTGTTTCAACTGTAAAATTTATATTTTTCTTCTTAATTCGTTCAAGCATTGATCATTTTAGTATTATATACTAATTTCTATTCATCTAGTTGGAATGTTACATTAGAATTAGATGTTTTCCTTCTGTTATCACAAAGATCATTGGCATTTACATTTGCAAAGGTGTTTTCATCATATGTGTCACCGATATGCTCACGATCCAGAAAAAATGAAATGCTAACATCAGAACCAGAAGACTTCAGATCACTTGCGATTGGAACTCCAAGAAATTGATTTTCTGTTGTTTCATTATTTCCCAAAAAGTCTAAGATATTTGAAATACTGCTGTCGGAGGCGGATGCATGAATGATTGGAACGGACAACACATTTGAATTATTCATTGAATTATCCACATCTGTGAAAATTATTTCATTATTGGTATCTTCCGTTATTTCTTCAATGTGTAGAATTGGTGCAAAATCGTCATTAGCAATGTCATTAATACAAGATGAGGTTGGGCCCATTTGCCAATGTGCATCTGATGATTCTAAATGTGTTGCCATAAGCTCATCACTCTGAAAAGTTAAATGACAGTATTTATTTTATTTTCAATAAATTTACTTTATATGTAATTGTATGTATTTACTATATTTGTATTGATGTTACGATCTGATATAGATTCGTTGTCTGAACTTTCATCTTCGGAAATGGCTGGTTCGTCTTCGAGCATGAATTTCTTTTCTGAATTCAATTCAGCGTCCTGCAGCAAATCCGCTCGACTAATGCTGTTCTTTTTGGATTTCTCGCTCAATTCAAAAACTTTTTCTACATCACCCAGCCGTTGTATCATATCTGGATATATACTTGAGTATTTGCGTTGTTTGGATACTTTATGTGAAGGTTGAATTGAATTGGACAATTTCATTGTTACTCGTGCTACTGCAAATAACATCATTGTTACGCCAACTGCAAAGAAGCCGTATTGGCAAATGTCAACAAGCACAGGCAAAATATTAAGATAAATATTAAATCGATTCTTCAATGATTCCGGAAGTTTTTCTAAAGTCTTGGAACAAACAAAAATGAAAATATTAATATTGTTTTGATTGATTTTGATAAAATAAAATTATCTACTTCTTCATGGTATAAATTTAAAATGTTGGGTTTTTTTAGATTTACATTTGTGTAAGTTCTTCTGTTTTTGCTTTGCGGAATACTTACTATATCGAACCAAAGCATCGGAATAACGATATTTGAGAACTGCTCTACGTTAGCCATATTGCTTACATCACGCATGGCCATGTTTATTTGAAATTTCACACTAAGTTCCAAGGGCAGTCCTGATGTCTTTGAATTGAGAATAACAGATTATATAAAACTTTGCATGAATTCTCTCTTTCTAAATTATCCATCACATATTATCGTTTAAAAGGATAAATGGAAATGATGGAAAGAATATAAGTTTCTTGCAGGTGCGTTCGTTCGCTTGATATTTGTACATTCACGTTCATTAAAGTTCGGCCAATAGGAAAAGTTTACGTTCATTCATAGAGATATGAGCGAAAAAAACAGTGTTTGCTAACTTGTCTATGGCCAGACTTACACAAACCCACGAACGCACGGTTCGTTGAAAACTTTCTATATATAAGGAATGAATGTAAAATATTTGCATACTTCTCGTACTACTTTCTATAATTCTTAGCAGTTTATTACTTACAGGCTGAACATAAAAATATGTTTCGTGCTGGCTTCGGTTAGGTTTCATTCCATTCACTTGTTCTTTCACGGTTTCATCAGTATCTAGGAAATGTGGATACGATAAAGCAATTGGAAATCCATAATAACATGGACTAATGTCAAGTAATCCAGCTGGAAGGCAGTATCCTATAGGAGATAATACTTTTTACTAATCATTACGAATTTCACACAAGTTAAGAAAACTTTTAATTCAACTTTAACTTATAATTGAAATGCAAGTTATATTGTATATTGAAGTCATTATTTTAAAATATCAATAGAACTGAGTTGGAAATAAATACACAATATCAGAAATAAATACATACAAATATAGCTGTATATTACAAATGGTTATTTTTCTTTCTGGTTTGTAAAAAATATTGGTGAAGGCCAAGGCAAACTACACACGACTGCGTATATCAGTTAGTAGTGTACATTGTACAATAAATACATACGTAATATTAAGAAAGTAAGGTATTTAATTGTCCGCATAGTTTATATAAATACGTATATAAATATATATATAATATATATAAACATATATATATATATATATATATATATGAATAATAATTTGTTTATTTTTATAGACTGTTTCGATTAATACCTATCACACATCAATACCGGTTATTTAAAATTTATTGAGGAATAATCGATAAGTAATTTTAATATTTTTATACACAAGATACACTTTTTAATTGAGTTAGAGGAACTACCTCCATTTCTATTTCATGATCAACATGATTATTATTTTCAACTAATTGTTTATTGTTCACATCAAATGAATCAACTCACATAGGAAAAAATTAGTTTGTGGATCTGTAAAAATATATCTATTGAATATATCGAGAAGAGAGTATCTTATTCATATGTAATGTCTGAATAAAAACATACTCTCCTCTCGATATTTTCAATAGATATTATATATATATTTCTTACCTTCGCGACAAAAGCATTTGTTTCTCTCATCAATAAAACCGTTATCCATAGCGTTTACTTCAAATTGATATTTGTACGCTTCAAGATCTGATTTAATTGTAGCATTACCGACACGTATCTTTATTAGAAAGAGATAAAATAGTTTTTAGGAAAAGGTCATTTTGTCATCTTGTTCTATGAAAGAAAAATCGTTGACGATTTAGTATATATTATATAAGATATATATTATATTTTATTTAATGAAATTATTTTCAATAAACCACCAAGGCGAAGGAACGCTGTTCGGTGCAGTTATCATTATTATTATTAAGAAAAATGGAGAATCAAAGTCTGAAAAATTGAGGGAACAAACTAAGTTTTTCAGAGAATATACAATGGTTGTAAAATTAGGGTGGTTCGATTCTTGAGAAAATACAGAATAGGATACTGGCTATAGTTATAAGTTATGGAAAAATATGTGATGCGAATATGACGTCTTATCGACATATTTGAAACCACAGATCTAGCGCCTCGAAGGGTCCAATTTTTGAAAGAAGGATGGGACTTTATGAGTCAGTCACTTTTATATTGGCAGCACTTCACATATAAACAAATGAAAATAATGTCAGTGATACCAACATGACTTCCATTCTCCTTTGACCAAAAAATTAAATTTCTCAAAATGTTCAACATATATTAAAAACATTTTTTCAGGTTCCTAACGCTGCTAATTGAATGAAATTGAAAACAGGATACGAACATGTCAGATGTATTTTAGAAGAAAAAAAACGATACCAACTCAAAGAAAGCACGGCGTGCTTGTAAAATCTGAATTATACAGGGTGATTCGGACAATTTCAGTAAAATCAGACTTGGGGTGGTTAAATTTTGTTTTGTTGGGTTCATTTCTCGGTCCAGTTATGTTCGGGCCCTATTCTAAGGTAAAGGTAAGGTCAGCATCTCTTTGATCGCTTTTGGGGGTCCATTCCACTTAATAAGCAGCGTTACGAACCAGAAAAATGATTTTTAATATGTGTTAAAATTTTTGAAAAAATTGAAAATGTTGGTCAAATTAACCACTCGAGGCGCTAGACCTGTGAATTCAATGATGTCAAAAAAACGTCATATTCGTATATGTTACATATTTTTCCATAACTTATAACTATAGTATCCCATTCTGTATTTGCCAAAAAATCGAACCACCCTAATGCACATAAGTACACAAATTCGAATCAAAATAAATCGATATCCATTAGCATTAAAATTCACAGAAACGGACGTTCAAAGTTCATATACAGTAAACGAAGAAGCTATTATATCGAATAATATTAACATATTTTCAACTTATTATCTACCAATGATTTATAATTTAGTCATATTTAAATAAAATAGGAATGACCAGTCAAAATTATTGTAAAAGGTGCATTTATATTAGTGTATTGGTATTGTAGTCTCATTTACACTTACTCAAAACAAAATTATTCGAATATTGCTTAGCAACAGATAAAATATAATTCACAATATCAATATGCTCTATTTTATTTCAATGTATATTTTTGAATTTGCAGCATTTGCATTTGTTAGAATTCAAATTTGAGGTTTCAAATTTGAGGTTTTTCATAATTGAACATTTTCCCTGATTATAAAATTTGAATCAAATGCACATGGATAACTGTGAACATGCTATATGAAAACTTATTTTTTGAAGATAAAGACAGAAAACGTGCCGAATTTGTGACCATGCGATTTTTTCCAGTTTCTTGGTTTTTTTGCTGTGTGAATCAAATTTTAGGTTCATGTGGAAGACAACAAGTTTGGCAAGTTCATTTACGTTTAAAATACGTAAGGAGGACTGACAAAAATGAAACAAGATAAAGACGCAAAAGTGTATTCGTGATAAATGCCACATATTTTTTGATTGTCCGTTGAAGATTATATGCTTTTGATCGTACGATGGGTACCATATTCAAGATACAAAAAATATAGCCTCCTATTTCTTGCAGAGATCTTGTTTTGATCATACCGTGAACTTTGCTTCTGCCTTGATCATCATATTAATGCACTTAAAAATTCATATAAGACTGAGAATTTGAAAGAATTTTGTTGAAATTATGAACAATTAATGAATTTTCTTGATATTTTTTTCCATATTTGTTATTTTTTCTTATTATTTTTTAAATTTAATTTTTAAGCATGGATCGAAGGTTTCATTTAAGTATTTAATTCAAATCAAATTTTTAGGTGTGGGTTACGAGTAGGTTACGAGTTATTTCGCACGTAGTCACCACATGTTTTGAATTAAAACATTAAACTTCTTTTTTATATATATTTTTGTAAAACCGCTTCTCGATGAAGCATTCATTTTATATGGATCTTCATATTTTTTGTTTATCACTCATTATTTTTATTCATTTTGCGACGTCTTCAAGACTGGATTTGATGGAATTTTTTTTAGTTAGATGTTTTTATTCTATTTGCATGATTAAAAAAAAAAAGTTTTAATATATATTCTTACCAATCTTTGTGGACGGCACATACTCTTCCTAAAAAATAGTAGCTGTTCATCAGGTCCAATGAAACTTTTAAATTTTGTGCCATCACTAGCACCGTTAATGTTATTACAGTGTTCATTTTCCCATTGCCTTAAATATTTGGAACCCATAAATGTATCATATAAACCCGAAATACTTGGATTTGTTTCTCCAGTGTAAAATGTTTCGAAATCGCCAACAAAATCATACATCTATAATAATTTGAAAAACACAAAATACGAATTGCAAAAAAAAAAAAACTTATGAAAAACAGGTTTTTAAACCAAATAATAAAAATAATAATAATAATAAAACTTACTCTATCTATGAGCCCAACTTTATCGAAATATATCCAATCAGGAAGAAACTGATTTCCTAAAGTTGTTAACGGGCTTTCATATCCAAACATGAACTCTCTGGCAGTTACATTTACTATAGACTTACTATTAGTTTGTCTAATAACCAAATTTATAGGTAAGCGAAAGAAATAGTTTTTTTCCGATGCGACTTGTGCTATACTCTGTAAAAAGAATGAATAAACCACTCATTAAATAGAATATTTTCATAAGAATTCATGCGAGGTTTACATTTCACCTAAAATGATCATAATATTATTGAAGTCTCACATCCATTTTCATACATTCAGTATTTGAAAGAGAGGTGAATTCCAAAATAAATGTCTTCCAAAGTGCAATAAAGAAGCCATAAGAAAACCATAGATTTATTACCAAAAACGATAAAAAATGAAATTCACATACAGTTGGCGCTGCATTCTATGCAAACTTGTTTTCCATTGCAACGGACTAAATGGAAAGTATACGCTTAATACATAGAATGTGGCGCCAACTATATGTGCATTTTATTTTTTTATCATTTTGGGCAGTAATCTTATCGCTTCTTTGAGCTATATATATGTGTAATTCAAATATTTGATCTTGACTTTTACTTCAACTGAATGTATTTTGTTAAGATATCGTAGTTTCTTTTTCTTCAAATTTGAATATACATATGATTGTCCGAGAATGAATGTGAGACTGCTCCTGAGAGTTTATTGAACTGTCTGACTGTCAGCATTTTTTGTATGGCGGTGTTACACTTTAATAAACTCTCAGGAGAAGTCTCACATTCATTCTCGCACATTCATATACACTGTCGTTCAAAAGTTTGAGTCCACTGCATAATGTTCATACAAATTGTCGTTTTATGAGGGTTCGATTCGGTTCGATTACTCAATCAAATTTCGGTATGTTTGAAAATGTTTGATAAAGAATTATGTAAGAAATATGTATCACCTCAAAAACATTTAAAGTCAAAATGTAACGAAATTTATATAAAATGATAGCATAAAATCAGCACATGATAAAAATTTATCTATAAACTCTACAAAGGGCAAAGAAATAACGGGATAAAATTCAATTGATACATTGGAAGCCTTAAAAAATCAGTATACACATTTGAACAGCAATGTACTCTTTCTGTGAAACATAGTATTAAATGCTTAACCGCTGCAACATGTATAGGAGAACGGATTGGTTTTTTACAAAGAGATCATGCATACACATGCAATATACAATTGTATAATACATGTTCTATCGAAAAAAGATATGTATTTATATGCTTTTTATAGAAAGACTCAATTTTTTTATACCCAATTTATACCCAATATTCGAAAGTGAACAATCGAATGATAACAATTGAAAGTCAAGGACTACATTTTGAAATGTGACGTTTCACAAGAATGAAATTCATGAGCTTAACTAATTACTTTTTCAAAGTATCCATGAATTATCGCTAATAATAAACCATGCACTAACAAAACAAGGTTCAAAATTAAATCCATTACATGGATTACACAACTTGTTTATTTACTTTTGCGACTTCAATATGTATGCGTGTTGCGGTATTTTCAATTAATTAACGATCCATTTTAAGTTCTTTTGAAAAATTCTGAATACAATTTTGAGCCAAAATTACTGATTACTGAACTTACCAAAAGTGCAATGTTTGGTAAAATGAACAAATCATCTTCTCTATTTCCCATTGACCGTTCTTCATCCCATACGAGTGGATGTTTCGGTATTGATGAAACAGTTCCGTTATTATTAAATATAACGTCACTGTGAGATAATAATTCTCTAGAAGTTAAAGATATTATCAAAAATATTTTGAATATACTATTTAATTTTTAATCAATTCTCTTCTGCTTCAAATGTATAATTACCTATACACATACGGCCCAACTTCTTCAAGATGCATCTTTTCTTGTCCGTTAAGGAAAGCTTCACTATTCGTTATATTCCACAAATAAATTTTTATATAAATATCAACTGGTGGATTTTTCCAGAGTGAAAATATTTCCCCACCTTCTCCGAAGATGAGCTTCTGCATTAATTGAAACAAAATGAAATGATTTGTATTGTTTAATATTAACTCTTCTTTTGTTGGATAGAGTGAATGAAATGAATTGAGGAATTAATCGTCACACTCTGTGTAATACAAATATATTTCTATACAAAGAAATCTAACACAAAGATTTTTAAAATATTCAATTTTAAAATTGGTTCGACTAAAAATCGGAATCTTAAAATAATCAACATGCAGAAAATTGCGAATGGTAAAATGGAAACACTTACCCACTTGAAAATCGCTTCATATGGTTGAAGTAAAAATAGGGCTATCGATGTACCAATAGCAAATAATCCCGCGGCAAGCAACAAAAATGCACCTAATATAAGTCAAAATTATGTTTTGTTGTTTATAATTACACAACTATCGTAACTATAAACTATATTGACAGTACACTTTACTAATTTCTTTTTTGCTGTTCAGTCTTGTTTGAAAAATAAACATAAAAATTGCAAAGACCTTGTTGGACATTTTTTGATCGAAAGTTACGGAATGCATTTAGTCAAGAAAAAAAAATGTTGAGCAAGAAAAAACGTGCAATCTAGAGAATAATCGAGAAGAAAATGCAAGCTTTTTTGAAGTGTAAACTTGTTAGTCATTTTTTGTAAACATACTAAAATATTCAGCAAGTGGAGCAAAATGTTTCCATGTGTCAATGAACGTGATGGAAAAAATTGTTGCATACTTGCTTTACGAGAGGTAGTATATATTTATAATAGCGAGATCTTTCAATATTGTTATTGCTCTTTTTGTTGCATTCTTTTCAAAAATGTGCAGATTATAAATACTTTAATTATTTTAAGTTATATGTATTCATATATTATATAAAAAAGCCATCGTTTCGAAAAAAGAAAGATTTCAAGTTTTCATCAATTCAATAAGTTGTAATCATGTGAGAAAAAATAAAAGCAACATATTTAAATCAGGGTTGAACCTATTCAGATAATATTTTATTGAGATTTTGCAAGTTCAATACAATGATTCACGCAGATTTAAAATCGTTCACACAATGCACACAAGTAAACCTTTTTGAACTGTTCAAACTATTATATTTGTTTCTGTTTCTTTTCATAATGCATTTTAATGTATGAATAATAAGACAAACATGTTGCAAATAGTTCACGTATGTATATTACAACTCATTGTTCTGAACATAAATAATAAAAGACTGCAAAATTTATTTCATATTTATATGTTTTGAGATTTTTTTTGAAGCAATTAGGTAAGTTAATTTTATAAATTTTAACGTAAACTTTCTTTTTAAAATTATTGTATAAATCTTTTGCTCTGCAATTTTTTTCATTTTTTTCCATGTAAATATTAAAATAGTTATTTTCAAAAATAAGACAGAAAAGCTTCATTTGATTAGATATTTGACAATAAATTTATATGGATTTATTTATAAAAACGATCAGCAGTCTATAGTATTTGTAAATATAAATATTAATGGGAAGAAGGTGACTTTGACCTAAAATTTGAGATGAAAAAAAAGAAATCAGAGAATGCACTGCTTAAAAGTGAAAGATAGACAGAGAGGACCAAATAAATGAAATGCATAAAAAAAGTGTAGTGGAAAGTGGCACTTTTATTGCCCACTCGGAAAAAAATCTGGTTTTTGTATAGCACATCTGAACGTTACATGTTTACATTTGCTATACAATTGCGGCTATCTATGCGCATATTCATTGGTCATTGTTTGAACAGTTATCTAATTTAGATGTTAAACTTGGTTATCCATTTCATTGAATGAAAAAAAGAAGAGAAACAAACATGATACAAAACATGTTATATAACACAGATAATTTATAAAACGGTCAGTAACTCAACAGCATGCGGCTCTTTTCTTCCAATTTGATGGTCGTCTTTTTACATTTTGAAGAGATTGATATGTAAAAGATTTACAGAAACCGCATACCAAATTTTGAACGCGAAAGTAACTTATTTACAGATACTTCTGTGAAAAACTGATCAATTTGATGACCATGGTTACTATAGTGTTGGTACAATAAATATTTTGTTGCTCAATTATTACTGTTGAGTTGAAAGTTATGTGATTAAAAAAAAACAGTAAGCACAATGCAGCAGCATCGGCTGCTGTTTACCCGTGAATTTGGGCTAGTGTAATATTACGTTTTGTAATTATTTTTAATTTAATGGACTGAATTGATTTTAATACAACGAAATGAGAAATATTGCACAACGTGTTCACACAAATGATTTTTTCGATATTTAGAAACGTTAGGAAAAAGTTATTCATACATATATTTAAAATTTAAAAAATTAAATTAATTTATTAATTTCAATCTTTAGAATATTTGTTCACAGTTAGAATTGAAACCATATAAGGAATATTGATTTATTTTTTGTGTCATCTTATTTGATTGATATTATATCACAATGAACCTTACATTTTGGATGACGCCTTCCACTTTTACGTTGACTGAAGAACGAATCTACAATCGTAAATCCCTGCTTTAATGATCGAGTAGCTTGTAAACTCTTTCTATGTCGATGATTGAAATCAATTTGTTGTAAATATTGCAAATTATCTTCTGCTGTATTGTTTGTATTACTTGGCAAACTTGTATCACTTATATTAACGGCGCTGTAACGCCGATCAAATAATTTAAATAAATCACGCATTTTCGAGCTAATTTTCAATTCTTCACAAATTTCGAAAATATTACTACTATACTTTATAAAAGAATTTCTTTTCGAAAATCACAAAAGTAAACATAAATATTTATTTTACTTATTAGAAATATTCAATTCGCCTGAATTGCTTCACAATGATTTTTCAAAACCCCGTATCATTCTAAACTTTTAAAATATTCGCTTATGCAGAAAATATTATATTGATTATTTTATTTTCCAAGTTGGGCGTTGGTTTCTTTTTGTAAACAATAAATAATTTTTATATATTTATATTATTATTTATATTTATATAACATATATAATAAAATTTATCACATATCATTTATTGATTTCACTTTATTCAAGTTACAAAAAAATCACGATGTTTTTTCATTGAAATCTTTCGTCTTTTATAAAAGATATATTCTTGCAGTTATTTTTGATCAATTCTCATTTATCGGGCAAAACCTTTTATAAACATAGTAGACTAACTAACCGATGACCGATCATATTGTATCGAATCCCGTAATGTTCACATAAATTGCGATGCGTAATCGAAAGTGAAGTAATTTAAACATCTGTTTTGCAACACAATCAGTTTTTGAATGAATCCACGTACGGAAATATTGAAACGGTAAGTTCGAGACAGAAATCTCTGACGCATTTTGACGCATGAGATTCAAACTAATACTACCATATATGTGTAATGTTATTGAATACACTTTATATGCTATATAAAAAGCATTACATATAATAAATACATGAGGAAAAATCACAACAGGTTGCTTTGAGTGTGTATGTAATTAAATATGAACCTGTTTATCCACTGTTAGATATTTTATTGAGTATATATGAAAGCCGTTGTTGATGACAGTGTTGAAAATTTTGGCAATATTTAACAAGTTTTCTGTATATATTTGATTTTTTCAAAGTCCCAAACTTTTGAAATTCGATATAATTGATGATTATACGCTATCTGTTATTTCAATAAGAACACGTTTTACTGTTTTTTGCTTTCCAAATGATATTCAATCCATTTAAGGCGTATTACCAAGAATCGAAACAAACAAAACTGCTTATTTGAAATATTTTTTTTTATCTTGCAGAAACGAATGAATCAACGAAAATTACATGAAATGTTTGCAATATTAGCAGAAAAAATGGAATTGTGGTGATTTCAAGAGAGTGTATTGTAACTTTAATGCCGTTCTTTAAATCAAATTGTGCACAAGAATTGTTAATACAAACTTTTCCGGCTACAAACTTGTCGCAGCTTAGCGGAATAAATGCAGATATTTTTATTTTTCAAACATACATATATTTTCCGACAGTTTCCGATGAAGTCATGAAAGTAAAGATTTTTTTGTGCTTTAATTTTCAAGAGTCCCAAGCTGTATGGCACCTTAAAAAGTTAAAAAAAACATACTCGGTTCAAGCATATTGATAACCAATTAGTTTATATAATTGTTGTAAATTGAAAAAAGTTTGTTAACACGATAAGTTTCCCCAAAAAATGTAAATCAAAATCTGATTTAACAGGATGATTGGGGGTTGGAGGGATAAAAATCATTATATTTTGATCGATATATATATTTCATGCCTAAAGTTAAGAGTCTATGAGAAAAATTGGTATTTTATGTGTACTTAAACACTCAAAAATATTTATAGGGGAAGTGAGTGGTTTGGCACGAAACCGAATCTCATGATATAATAAAAAATGCAATACAAATTATTTTCGAAAAACTTTTCTTAAAAAAGTCCCCAAAAATTTGTATTTTTCTATGGAATAACGTCATACATGTATGATGTCGTAATGATGTGAAACTTAGCACCCGCTACTTTTTCACAAAAAAATATATTCTGAGATTCTCAGACTGAGAATTTAAAAAAATTCGAACGAAAAAGGGGTTCTCACGGTGATTGAGTTACTGCAAACATACATAAATCTATTCAATTTCGATTTAACAAAATGCTATAATAAATGTTTGTTCGTAGAAATTTAATATAATGTGGAAAGTGTTACGGCCTTGTTATTAATAGAAACACCAAACTTTAATTTGGAACGGGCTTATGAAATAAATAAACTACAATCAACGGTCACATAAGTCCGTTCCAAATTAAAGTTTGGTGTTTCTATTCGTAGAAATTTAATCAGCATAAAATTTTGTGAATCATATTTTCTAACTAAAGTACACAATCTCACCAAATTTTGAGAAATTTCAATAGGCGTCGATACTATATAGGCACACTATTTCAACACACTTGTATGGGAGGTTTGGGTGATTTTTTTATAGACGTCAGAAACAATATACCAGTGTAATTTTAGATTTTCGTATTACCAGTAGGTAGCGCAAGAGCTATCTCGATTCCATGATGGGTCCCTTGGAAAATTACATTTTGTTGCAATATAAACACACTTTCTGTCAATTACATCGGTCCCAAATACTATCTTTTATCTTATCTAGATGATTTTAGAAACAAAAATATTCATCTTATCTTTTGGATTTTTTGGCATCTTATCTTGATTTTTTAAGATAATTATTAAGATATTTTGGTCATTTATTTAAAAAAAGAAATCATCAATTGTCGGTATGATTAATTTGCTCATCAAAGCGAAAATGATCAATTTTATGACCCGATTTGTCAAAGTTATAGCTTTTGTATTAAAAGTCCGATTCGCAAAAGACATCCGACAACTTCAACGCACGATTTTTTGACCTTTTTCAAAATTTTATTCAAATAAAAATAACTTTCGATATTTAATCTTTTTATCTTATCTTTTCGAAAGATATTTTATCTTTTATCAAAAATATAAGATGAAAATCTTGAAAATATCTAAATGATTTTTGGAAAATTGAGATACTATCTCAAAAGTATCTAAATACATTTCAGATATCTTAAGCAAACACTGATTTTAGTTACTGATGTGGTTTCAAGCGATGAAAATTTCGAATTTTCCTACCAAAAATCGAAGAATGTACTAAAGATAAAACACATCTCCGATGGGAACTAGTATCGTATATTCCCCATACAAATTAATTTTATCGATTCTACGAATACGACATCTGTTTAAAAAGATACCGATTTTTGTTACTACTGTTGCTTTGACACAGCTCGAGCGAACTATACGGCTATCGCTGTATTACAGACGAACTAATACAAAAGAACACACAGACTCCGATCCTGTGTATGCGTCAGGGCTTTCAAAAGTGGATTTTAAATCAAAATCAAAAATAAGATCATTTGATTTGATGTACACTATTCAAATAAATCAAATCATTTGATTTTATTTGGATGGACGTGTATATTTTAAATCAAATGAAATGATTTGATTTATTTGAATAGTTTACATCAAATCAAATGATTTCAATTTTTATATTTATTTGATAAACAA